TGCCTCAGCCTGTTCCTGCTCGTTCACCGCATAGTTTGGAGTGCTCGAAACCTGCATTTAATCACACATGGATCCGATCGGTCAGCTGCACTGCTGAGACTGAACACACAGAATCAGTAGCTTAGGATAACCAAATTGCTAGGAGAAAGGAGATCTTAGATTTTGCAGGATGGTCTGTAAATGTAAAGCAGCAGAACCAGCCATTGGTGATCAGCACATAATTTTACTGAAGATGCATACACACGTGAGAGTAAGCAGCACTGGGCATCCAACTGAGTAATTAATGTCCTTTTAGAAGTACCTATCTAAGAAAGAACTGTACAGCAACGCTGGTTGAACTGTAAGCGTCTTAAAACTCAGTATGTTGGCTAATGATAGTGTAGAAAACTTCTAAACATCATAAATGTAATGAACAATTATCATCTCAGAAATCCAGTTCTTTTTCATAACAATCCTCTGCATTAGCATGCCACGGTAATTAAAGTATAATTTTACATTCCATAGCAATGAGTAAAGCCTATGTTTAGAATAAAAAGTTTTTAAAAATCAGTTAAGCTCTGATGCTGGTATGTCCCATTTTAAATAAATCACTTATCTCATCCTGGATGATTATCTGGTGCTCATAAACACTAAGTGATACAAAATCATTGCCCAGAGAAATCAAATATAAATACTTCCATCTGTAACAAAACAGAGTTATGAATAGCCATGCATTAAACAAAGCCTTTCCAGCTGAAAACTTGCAAGGCAGATCTGGCCCCCAAGACTATTCCACTATTGTGTAAAATTATACCTTTCATTTGACAACTGGCCTGAGCATAAATGGGAGTAATGTAACCCCTTCCCAATTGCCAAAAAGTTGAAGTCCTGAGTGAGATTAACAACTTGTTTATTCCTACAAATTACGACATTGCTCGTAATGGATAATGGAGGCCAAGGCTAATACTTCTCATCCTATAAACCCTTATATATTTTGTGTGTTTAAACAGAGGACACGAGTGTAAGCAAAGTAAAGCTCTCGCCAGGACTCCTCCCTGGGTGACAGAAGATACCAATACGCTGCATTTGGAGGAGGCAGTTGAGGCAAGTGCAGCATAGCTGATGGTCCCGGGCTGCCTGGAGCCGAGTTCCTCCAGGCAATACTGGTGGGGACACACCGCAACCAGCAGCCATATGCCTGTCCAGCCTTCTTGCCGAGCCTACAGCCTCGTTTTTAGCCTGTGCCAAAGCTCTTCCCCTTTTTCCTCTGCTATTTGGTATTACATCTCACCATAACATGATTGTAGAGACATACCTAAAGTCTCACTTGGATATATATACACGTCTTTATTCTATTTTACCTTGCACATTTTAGAATAAAAGTATATGAAGAAATAGGCTGAAGTATACTATGTTTTTGTCCTATGAAGATTTTAAGTTTTGCACTCTATTACTTTACTTATTTTTGGCCACTAACTAGGAGAACCTTCATGACTGTCCAGCAGCATTTATCCATGCAGATCTAATTATTATATACTCTCCAGCTGACTGTCTTTGCAAAAGTTGGTATCATTTGTAGAGTACGATGACAGCACAGATATAATTATGTCCTTAGCATACCAGCTGTGGTATTGAAATTTTGTGCAATTGTATTGCCAAGCCTGCAAGGCTAATTTGTTCTTTACAAAATATTTGTATTTTTCAACTGAAAAAAAAAAAAGTTTTGACTTCCTCTCTCCTCTAACTTATTCAAAAAGAGTTTCTAAAGCATTTTGGTGATTACGCATGCATGTATGCAAAATGGGTGGATTTTCTTTAATAATATTTTTTTTAAGTTGCCTGCTTGTGTGTTTTATCCTGCAAACCCTAGAGACAGAGGTAGTCCCTTAAATATCTTTAGAACAACAACAAAAGGGACTACTGACATGTAAATCCTGCAGGATAAAAACCTTCATTTGGAGCAAGTCTTTCATCCTTTCAAGTGTAGGACATTATGAATATTCATAAATTGCTGTTAAACCTCCTACCTATATGTACAATGACTTTAAGTTTTAACATGCAAAGTATGTACTGCTTAATACTTGATCAAGCTGTTGTTCTTCCATCTATGTGACTCAAGGACAGGGTCCCATCTAGTTTTGTGGATTTCTTCCATTTGCATCTCATTTATATTTAACAGTTTTTATTAAACATTTTAACATTAATACATATTACACCTACATTGCGTTATACACACACACACACAAAATAGCATACAACACTAGTGTGCAGATCTTTATTTTATTAAAATAAGTTACAAAACTCCAAATGTCTCTCCCATTTATTGGACAGATGCTATAGGCAACTTTACCCCCCCTCACAGTTTTATATGATGTGATATATTGTATGCATTCAAAAACAGCTTTTTCCTGTATTTACTTTTAAATAAAAGAATAAAAATGCAATTACTGCAGAAAAAAAAAACAGTACTTCATGTACTGTATGTAGCACTGAGTAAAGTACAGCAGGTCTAGATAGCTTTACAGTTACAATGTGACCATACACGAAGGCCCGCGGGGTCATTGTATTATGGAAACCATTGTCTTCCCTAAGTCTTCTTGAAGTCTTCTTGACTTTTGGTCAATAATATCAGACCAGCTGCCGTTTTGTAAGCTGTGCAATGAAATAAAGCTTGCTGAACAGAATAAAAAATGAATGATTCAGAAAGATCATTTTAAAAATAAGTAGAATGGTAGCTCAGACACCCTGCTGTCTCTCTTGATATGCTTGCAACTTCTGAGAGACTTCATCTAGTGATCTGTTGTTAAGGGCATTATACCAGGTGCTAAGAAGTTTGACCTAATTCTAATCTTTTTCTTTATTGCAATTTAAATAACTATTTCTTTTCTAGATGAACTCAATAAATACTTGAAAAATGAAAGAGCAGCTAGAGGTTTCAAAACACTTATATCAAGTGCTGGCAATTTCCAAAATTGTCTCAACCCTGGTGTCTTACATGGAGATGGATCTTGTGACATCCAGAGCTCGGGGCAGCAAATACAGTCTCTGCTTCATTTTTCAGCTTGAGAAGACACTGGGGATTCCTTGCCCAGCAAGGAATTACTTTGAGAGAAAGCCTCAGTCCTTTGTAATACAGTATATTTCTAACTCAGAATCACCACATTTCCTTGCTCAATATTAGTGCTGTAGGGCAGAGAGATTATGCATTCTCTGAAGAGCAAGCCACTGTTGAGATGAGATTGCAGGTTTAATTAGCTTTGGCTTACTTTGTAATTACTTAGATTCCCTGGAATGACATATTAAAATCCCACAAAATCAGAGTATGCTTTTCCCTCAAAACCTGAGTATTTCTTTCACCTTTCCCAGACAGAAACCCAAATTCCATGCACCATATAAATAGAAGGATTCCCAATTAGGCCTTATAAAAATTATTTTTAATTTATTCAAGAACTGGGAATGCCTTCTGTCCTTGGCAGATGTTTTCATTGGTTTTCAGAAAATTTATCTACACAAAGAAACATATATTGTAGAAATCTTACTCTCCTGCATTGTTCCCCTTCTTTAATACTAAGTTTCTGACTCTTCCTCTATTCTGATGCCTCAGGGATCATAATGACAATCACAAATCTGAGTTTTTAATTCCTGTTGAAATGAGAGTGCCTTTTACAGAAAATAGTACATAGGCTCAAAAGTTTCCAGTGATGAAAAAATTACCACATCCTTGATAAAGTGCCACAGTGCTCAATTATTAAGAACTGTACTTTCTTTCGATTTGTATCTTGCCCAACTTTAACTTCCAATGATTAGTTCTTTTCCTGCCATCTGAGGATCCTTACTCCCTCATTGAGGTCTCCCACCATACCACAGAATTCACCACTATAATTTTGTTTTCCTCCCACATGTTTGTTAATGCCCAGTCCAGGTACCAACTACATTTCCCTTGCCTGCCTGCGGGAGCCACCCTGCAGTGAAGGAAGCTCGCGAGCTCCAGGGCAGCACAGCCGACAGCACCGGCCTGCACCTCAAACCTTGATCCTCGCCAGCGCATCCCGTTCGGCAACTTCCCTGGCATTCTGTCAGTCACCTACTATATCCTAACAGCTCGATATTAATACGCCCACAGATTGGTATCAAAAGGAAAAGCTATCATGAAAATTGTGTGGGACGCTGTCTCGGTGAAGTTGGAAGGCAGAGAAATACCACAGCTGGTCACGCTGTTGTAATACTGCCTTGGAAATTGGGGGGTTATGCCACCCACTAAGAGGGCTGAAAACTGAGCATTGGCTCTTATGGTAGAAGTCAACCAAAGAATTAAAAACAGAGCAATGCTTCATGTTCAGCACAGCCTACCTCATCTAGGTGACATGCGCATGTCCACTTTATCCGTACATCAGTACTAAAACTCTTCAAGGAAATGTGGAAACGCTATAATGGTATTTGTAGCACACACATTTTTGCAAAATTGGCACAAAATAACATTTCCAAAATCACCAAGGAAATACTTTCTATTGTGAGTTATTTTCTTCCCTGACTTGTATCAAAATAGCTACCTCTAAAATGCCCGAAAAAAAATATTTGAATACAGAGGATTGTGTAAGAAAAAGGATATGTTTTGTGGACAGAGCTTCAAGGTGCGAGGTGACTGAGTCCTGCAGTGCAGCTATGGCTTCACACTTACAGGATTCTTCAGTTGTCACAAGACTGCTTGTTGTAGCTCCTAAGAGAGAAAACAGCATTTAGGATATTTATTATATTTATGATATTTAAATCCCAGGGAAGTCCATGATTCTTCAAGGGGAACTGAACTCAACAGGTGAGACTATAGCAATCACCAGAATACAGGAGATCAGCATGCAGCCAGTCACAAATATTACAAGTCCAGAAAACAGACATGTGAAAGGGTTTGACTCTGAGGAGGAGGCAAAATTGGGAATTCCTACCTACCTAGATGCTCTGCATTTTTTAAATTAAACCATTACTAAGCAAAACATTAGAGGGCTGAGGCAAGGACCAGCCAGCCTCCCCTAATTCCTCCAATCACCAGACCAGAGTGAATCTTTCTTACATCTGTGCTCTCACTCTCATCCAGAATATCCGGCACCCTAGAAATTTGGGTGCTTTCCGGGGAAGTAGAATGAAAGCCTTTGAATGCCTAAATCTGAGAAGAACCTGCAATTCCAGTCTCTGTTTTGAGAGAAGTACTTTGGCCATCAGACCATCCACGCCGGAGGGGCACTTGTATCAGTGTAACCAAAATCTACTAGATAAGTTGTATTCAAGACCATAACTAACTTCTGGAACCCATCTTGAGAAGGAAGAATCAAGCTAGAAAGAAGAATCAAGCTTGCTCTCCTATCAAAGCTGTAGTGTAATGACATTTGGGATGTCACGGCACTTCTGAGCATGTATGAATGTGCAAAGTTAAGGCTTCAAGGAATTTTTGAGTCAAGCAAGGAGACATCTCATGATTTTAGGCACCTTAAAAGTACGATGATTTCAAAAATATGTCAGCTTGAATTGGTTTCTGAAATATAGGTGTAATTTAAGTACTTAAGTCTCAGCTTAGGAAGGAATTTAGACAGGTATTTATCAGTTTTGAAATAATACAAAAATAAAAGCAGGAGCACATATTAAATGTAAATAGTAAACAATAGAGCTTCAGCTAAATCACCAAGAGGTCTCACCTTGCAAGTGCTCCTGGTGTGTAACACTGCATATGCATATGCAGTGCATGTGGAATATCATCCATGATGCATTAAGAGATATGAACACAAGCCCACTCCAGTGTCACATTAATACATGATCGTTCTTGTACTTTCCTGTGATTCCAGTTAATCCATTTCTTGTGCTAGGTCTTGTGCTCAGTCTTCCAAGCCCACAGAGGACCATGGCTGAACCGTCCTCAAGAATTGCTTTTTCTCCACTATCTACCACAAAACTCTGGATGCTCCCACAGAGGGCTCGAAGAGAGGATAACCTGGCTAGGGCATAATCATGTTTCGGGCATCAGATGATGGTTCAGAGTTCCTAGCGACAGCAGATGAAGGGCAGTTTAACCTCACCTCTTCCATAAGGAAGTTAAGAGTTAAGGCAAGCTGTACCATATTACATTTGCTGCAGGCTAAAATCAACTGCAACAGCAGCTACTGAAGCACAGCTACTACAGTGAGATTACTCCATGTACTTGAGACCAGACTAGCAAACTTTGAAAGGCAGAACCTCCTTAAAAAAGGACCTGCAATTATGATATGCCCTCTCAACAACATATCCAGAGGGATCATATATATATAAAGCCTCTCTCTGCCTTTTTACATTGGTTACATAGTCAATGGCAACAGACTATATTTTCCAAATACCTAAATGCGAAGCTGGTAATGCTAAGCAAATTATGTAACCATTATAACAGTAAAACGATAGAAACATTATACCTGGATACAATGTATTTTTTTCTAAATTATTTTAGATCCTCTCTTTATAATCTATATCTATAATAAATAATCTATATAATAATTAATTAATCTATTATAATTAATCTATAATAATATGTTTGTTTTTCAAAGAAACTGTCAGCTGCTTCAGTTTAAAGAAACAGATTGAAATATATGAATTTCAAAAGTTTGCTCCTTCAGTGTTTCACTGAAAAAAAAAAATCTATGAATGGATTCATTTCTAGTGCGGCAGAAACTCATTTGTCTTAGAGCCAGCATTGAAACTGAAGTCTCCTTGATTTCTCTAAACTTGTGTTTGCTCAGCTCCCTTCTTGGGAACATTCCACCAGCTTTATGGCCAATGTACAAAGAAGAGCTATTCAGGATTCAGCTGGAGGAAGGCCAGTTCAGAATATCCTACCAACACGGTTACTCTCCAACCGACTGCCAGTGGAGTTTTCATATTTGCGTTTAAATTCTCCAGTGGCAGATACAGTTTGTCCTTGGATTACTTCTCTTTTAACCAAATTATTTTCCATATGGCAATGCTCCATGGGTACCCTGAAGTCTTCTGGAGTCTTTCAGTGACACTTATCATCTTCCAGTATTTAATATTCAGAAATCTTGAGCACACCCGTTGTCACTGAGATGCCCAACAAGTCACACAAAACATGCTAGAACTGTGTTTTTACCCTGCATTTGTGTTTAATAAGGTCTCAGCCTACAAGAAGTTACCATTTTTGTAGAATGCTGTATTTGCCTATATCATACTTTGCTCTTACAGAAGGCCCTTAGCAGCCTGATCTAATGCCAAAATTGTGCCTACTTTGAACAGGAGGTCAGACCAGGTACCCCTGAGGTCTCTCCTGGCCTAATTTCTCCCGTGATTCTCAAAGGATGCAGAGCGACTGTGAGTAGCTTCTACCATTCTTGTCCATGTGAAGTGAAAGCACCTGGTTAAGTGGGTGCCTGCCCCGCTCACGCTCACGAGTGGAAGAGATGACAGGGTTTATCATTGCCATAACTCCCCCAACACCACTGCTGTTCCCCACTGCCACTTGAGTCCTGTGTCCTGGAGACAGACACCCCAGAAGCCAAACTTTACCAATCCCCTTAATTACTACCACTTCTAAAGGAAATGCAGATTATAAATTTCCTTTTTAATACCCCTTAAAAGTGTAAGTAAAGTATACTTAAAAGTAAATATTCCTTAAAAGCGTGGTTATAGGTAAGACTAAAGACTATTTTAAAAAATACTATAACTAAGCAAGAAGGATTGAACTAGTTCAGAACATTCCTGAGAACAGGCAGAAAAGAATGGGAAGGGATTACACCCTCAAGGCATTTGTGAGTTGAAGGAAAGTTTTCCAAAGATATTAAATGGATTTAACACATTCAATATGTTAGTTGAAGGAAAGTTTTCCAAAGAGATTAAAGGGATTTAACACATTAAATATGTTACTTTAGAAAATATATTCAGGAAAAAAGATTAATATATATATATATTACTTGAGCATGTTTTCTCATCTGGATTTAAGGTAAAGCCTTCATAGCAATCACAGGTGTACGAGCCATCATTACTCACACAGATGTGCTCACACTTATGCATCCCTGGGGCACATACATCAATTCCTATGAAATACGTTTTGGAGAAACAGTTATCCCATTAACACCGTAACAAATTTAAATACTTCACAAAAGAAATACTTTTCCATTTGGGAACCTGTTGTACATGTACTTTTATCATGAATTACTGAGATACATAACTGATCTTGCACTGGAGCAGTGAGATGAACCAACTGTCTTACTGAGACTTCGTACAGTTGATGATCACTCTGACTGCAGCTGCCCAAACCTCTGAAGGGCAAGATCACCTCCAAAGAGGGGCTAGGAAAAGTTTCCAGAACAGAATAACTTTGCAGTAAAGATACTGAAAAGAAATGCTAGGGAACATTTGTACATAGTTAACATAACACAAAGTCATCAACAAGCTGAAGCAACAAAGAGTGAAGTGCAGCCTGGAGGAGAGGACATCATCTCCAAGCTGCCTCCTGCATGGTGACCTGCCGTTTGCCCAGTACTGCAAAGTATGTGGCTAAGCTCTTCTCTCTTCAATTATATATATATATATTTATATATATTTACACACACATATATATAACTACTATTACAGATAAAGTACTGTATGTCTCTCTGCTACTCAAAATGAAAATGAGTGACAAGGAGCTTAGATAGAATGACGCTGTAGGTTTCTCTAACAGACCCAATATATTAACTTGCAAATCAGAGCTATTTCAATATATTACTGAGGTGAGGAGGGTGTGGAGGGATAGGGAACAGCAATCTGTTCTTACTTGAGCAAGTCTTCTTGTCCGGATTCAGGGTGTAGCCTTGGTAGCAATCACAGGTATAGAAGAGATCATCTCTCACACAGACCTGCTCACAGTCATGCCTTCCTGGTGCACACATGTCAACAGCTAAGGCAGGCATTTGAGAAGAGAAGAATATTAATCACTCCCCAAATTTCAAAGCATTTGTTTTCTGTTAATAATTTACATTTACAAACATTCCCTCATTTGGATTCTGGTACAAACTGGCACAAACCAGTACCACTTTATTGCACATCAGCCATACAGCGTCTGTTGACTATTGGCCATGGGGTGTAAGAGTGTTTTTATCTGGCTGTGAACACCTCGAAGCTGACAGGACTTTTGAAGTCATGCAGAATGCAAAAGGAACTGAAATAACAGTGGTCCAGTTACAAAATAATGATCCAAGGGAATTTCAGAGAATGAATATCTGGAATTTAAGAGAGTGTTTGGTCTTATTTCAACTCTGATTGCATTGGACAAGCTACTGTTTTATGAAGTAAAAAGGTCATAAAAGCAGAAGAGTACACATGGCTGCTTAAAAAAAAAAAAAAAAAAAAAAAAGAGAGAGAGACATGGCACCAACTGCCAGTTACAAAGTGGGTACTTTAGGTGTGAAGCAGATGTTCTCTGCCAAATTTAACACATCAACTCCAAAGAGCAAGCTGAGAAGTTCCTATGTCTGGATATCTTTGCAGCTAAGGAGAATTAGCAAGGCACAAGCTATTGAGCTACTGTAAAGAAAAGAGCCCTTCCTGCATCTAGGCTATTTTCACTATATCACAGAGACTTGGAGGGCTGAGAAATCAGCAGCAGCAGAGGGTAAAAAGAGATTCAAAAGGGAAAAAAAAAAAAAAAAAAAAAGCAAGCCTTTTGGGGAAAAAATGGCATTCCTTTATTGAGTCTAATCCCAAATCTCATTTCATAGTATTGACTACCTCCTGTATATTTACATTTCAGATATTTTTTTCCTGAATTCACATTCGATTAGAGAAGTTTATTGCCCTTGCATGATACCAATTGAGAGTTCATCTTAGGAACAGTATCTATCAAACGAGCTCCTGAAACAGCCAAAAGTAAATGTTGAGGAGAAGTCTTTGCCTCTCAGAGGCGTAAAAGCTTCAACTTCATTGGAAAGACTTGCCTAGAAATTTCCTGGAATTGGAAACTTAGATTCAGCACTTTGTCATCTAAAATATAGTAAGGATAGCAAAGTATAGTATAGTAAGGATATTAAAGTATAGTAAGGAACAGGAATATGATGGAAGTGAAAAAAAAAAAAGATATGTAAATAAATCATCGGTGAGAAATACAAAGCGATGAAGAGTAAAGTTCAAATCCTAACTCACTCAAAATGCTATATAATACAAATTCCTTTATATAGTATGTATATATATTATACATAGTATACTATACATAGTATAGTATATATACTATATATACTACATAGTATGTACTATATATTAACATATTCATCCTTAAGACATGCTTCATGTCTATGCTTATATTCTCCACAAGAGACCAGTGCTTGGAAATAATATTTCTCTGCAGCCTCTGGAGCCCTAAGGCTCAAGTAATTTTTGTGGTCCAAGCCACAAGAAAATGTGTTCACACACGTCATGATAGAGGCTGTAGTCGGTATTCAGAGCACAGTCCTTGCTCTCCTTTCGCTCCCCTGTGCTGGTTTGCAGCAGTGTCCTGGCACAGAGAACGTGCATTGCACATTCTCACCAAATACACTGTCCTCCCCGTCAGGTGGATATGGCAATTCTTGCCCCCGTTTGTAAAAATACTGTCAAGATGTCAAATGGTATTTTATCCATAGAGATTATAAGCTTCACAGAAATGTAGAAGGATCATGTCTCAAAAGGTTACCAGAAATGGAAAAATGAAATAAAGTTGCACTATGTTTTCAGGTACTCTTGGGTAATTTTTCAGAGAATTAATGTTAAAAAGCGTTATTTGTTTTTAGTTGAACACAGTATTTTCTTGGTGAGGTCCTACCTGAGCAAGTCTTCTTATCTGCATTCAGAGTGTATCCTTCATAACAGTCACAGGTGTAGGATCCATCATTGCTCAAACAGATCTGAGCACAGTCATGCTTTCCAGGAGCACACATGTCCATAGCTGTGTTGAACCATTTTTTAGAGAAGAAGCAGCCTATGAATCCCTCCCAAACACTCTAACGTCTTAAGTACTTCAGCATTTATACATACAATTTAATTAGGATTCAAATTAGGATTAAACCAGTGCCCTCTTAGTATCTATCATTATATTATGCTGCAAATAATTCAGTTACTGATTATTTAATGTATGAGGCAGCTATCTGAACTCTAAGACAGTTCTATACTATGGCTCACAGAATCTGATTTTCAGCAATTCTGACTGCCCCAAACAATGTCACATAAAGTGAAGCTAAAACATCATACTGAGGATTAGCAGAAAAGTGTGATGGGTCTTTGCAGAAGAAACTTGCTCTTGCAATATCAGTGGTTAAATCCAAATGTAACTTTGTATTTTCACTCTATTTTAAGAGCTGAAGTCTGCAAGAAGTTTTTCAAACAGATGCAATGAAGATAACTCAAAAGAGTGTGTCCATGTCTTCGTGAAATTTGTATGTAAAGGTAGTCTTTAGTTCTTACCTGAGCAAGTCTTCTTATCTGGATTCAGGGTGTAGCCCTCACGGCATTCACAGCTGTAGGAGCCATTGTTACTCACACAGACCTGGCCACAGTCATGTCTTCCAGGTGCACACATGTCTACAGCTGGGCGAGACATGTCGGAGAAACAGTTTGGTCTTAACATAAAGTATTAATGGATGGAGTGGATATTCACACTTACAAATACATTGCCATTTGGAATCAACCCAGAAATAGCGATGGTAATTTAAGGAACTAGAATAAGTGGTAGGATAAAATATTTATACAGTGTCAGCTGAAAACTTTGTTTTGGCATCCAGCCCTAATGAATGGTGCTCCTGTGGTCATAACAGAAAAGATATTGACGAAATTAAACTATTATTTATCGTTAATTGTGGCCAACTTAGAAAACTTATTAACAAGATACAGATGCTCACCATTTCAGCAGATGTATGTGAATAGCTTCTTAAATCTTATTATCTTGTTAAAAAGAGATTTTTTCCTACCTCAATATATGTACATGAAGGTACCAGAGCCTTACCTGAGCAAGTTCTTTTATCTGGATTAAGTGTGTAGCCTTCATAGCAATCACAGACGTAGGATCCACCACTGCTCATGCAGACCTGCTGACAGTCATGGGTCCCGAGCGCGCACATGTTCACAGCTACAAAGGGCATTTACAGAAAAAAAAGCACTTCAGTCATCCCAAAGCAAAGGAACAGGCAGTAATATTTTATGGTTACAAAATTCCTTCACATCTTGCACTACTCAATGGATTAGTAGAAGTAAATTGCAGTGTTGAGTCCTTGTCACAAGAATTACTGGCAGCTTTGGCATCATTTGTGTAGCCAGAACCAAGAGTTACTAGCCACCTTGAAATAACTGCACCAAGGTAAATCAGCATCCGAGGTGGCAGAAAGACAATATTAATCTACTCAAGGAGTGCAAAGGAGAAAAAGGTAAATTTTAAGCATTTCAATGGAAATGGGAACTCAGCACTGGGAAGACCCCCTCTGGATTACTGCATCCAACCCCCTTCCATTACCAGCAAAGGTTAAATAAGCTCAATCACAAATCAGTTGCTATCTGCCAGCTAACAAAATCCTGCTCTCTGGCACATAACCCAGTTTATGAATTTCTGTTGCCTTGGAGAAAACACTCTTGTCACGTAAACCAAAATGTGATCGAAAGTGCACGCACACCCACTCACACATGAACGGACAGTAAATTACAATAGAGCATCCATACAAAGAGGAACATGAAAATAATGCTTGGATGTAACACGTTATCTTCCCCAGGGTACAAAGAGCATCATGTACCAATGGTTCAGAAGATGTACCAGCTTGAGGAGAGACGAACAAGTGCAGCTGCAGCTACCCAGCTCCATCAGGATTAACTAGTCATCTCCAGAAGAGTTTATGGAGGAGAGTTCCTGCAGCAGGGTAGCTTTACAGGCAGATGAACCTCAAAACTGAAAGGTATATTACTCGATCCTAGAGAACTGAGCTACTTAAACTGCAAAATGAGATTAAATTTTAAGGAACAAGTTAATTTGCCAAGGACAGCAGGGTTATCTGATTGGATTAAGAAAACTGAGAAAACAGTGATAGGAAAAGCAATATGATCAATGGCATCTGGATATGTCAGTTGGGCTGACAAAATGACTGTTACAATGTTGGCCCGTCCCTGCAACGCAGTGTGTGTGCTCCCTTCACCTTCTCAGATTGTCTGACTACACAAGTGATGCTGTGTGTACTAATGCATAAGAATGTATAAAATTGAGGACCAGTATTTCCTCAAACTCTGTTTAGCTTTGGAGTCTGCTGTTTCTGGAGATTACTTAAAGATGTGTACTTTTCTCCACTGACTGTAAAGGAAACTTAGGTACTAGCCAAAATTTAGATACTTAAGTGGCAAAATTTAGTTGAGATGAAAAAGGGAAGAGGGCAGAGGAGGAAAAGTGGAAACATAGGTCCATGGAGTCATTGCCTGAGAGTCATCTAAGTGATTACTTAGATGAGTGGTAACAGTGGGGATATGGACTACTGATAAAATCAACCTCCAAAGCTGTATTGGTGAGGTAAGAAACAAGAAATTTGAACTTCATCATCTATTTCTGAATGCAAGGCAACATTTCCTATTTTCTAAAATATGGAAAATTTAGATGTCCCTTGATAAGGCTGACAGATAACACATCTTCTCTTCCTAATGGCAGTAAAAGACCAAACCAAGCCAGTGTCTTCACTGCCACACCCAAGGGAATAACAGAATTAATCTCAATAAGGTAAGAACAAAATCTAGGGATTATATTTTCAAGCTGGGAATCTGAAACTCAAACAGTCACATTTTTGTGGTAGGAAAGTCAAGCTTCCACCAACTGACAGCTGTTTGAGGCCAAGATTTTTCATCTTCAGAATGTTCTCACATTGAATGATGCTCTCAATACACCAACAACTTGGTCTTTGCCAACTATTTTGCCCCTGAACATTGGCTTTCCTGTTTTCAGTTCACCCCACAAAGAAATTTTTTTGGCTTGGCCAATGCAAAACAAATCATAGCTGTAAATGGTGAGTCTAGATTTTTCCCTGACCAAGCAGCAATCTGGACCTGGAGAAGACTGAGTTTACCCGCTGCCTTACAAGACCCTCTTAAATCCATTTGGTTTGGAAGAATATTTTGAAAATTATTCGGTTTTACCCCATTTTTGTTCATGAATCCTAGGGATGGGTTCTGGCTAGGAACGTGCAGGAAACTCAGATCTACACTGGGATTAGATATGTTTCAGCTCTCTCTGGTTTCTCCTCCAGCTTAGAATGAGCACAAAACTCATGTTTAGGTACAAAATCCTTACTCTTAAGAACAAGATTCTTTTCCTTGGTGCTACGAAAGGACGTGCTTTGGCTGGTATGTAAGTGGAAAATTTAGTGCTATTTTCAGCTAGGTGGGGACTGGTACGCACTTCAAGATACCACAAAGAATGTGGTCACATCAGTAACACAACATGATGACAAGCCAAACCTTAAGGCATTTCCTACGTTAATTACTGGGCAAAGTGTCCCGTCTAGAGATGGTTCTACACGTTTATTTCATACCTAGAAGAATAAGATTATTCACTCTAAACATATTATTCACTCTAAATGTATGCAAAAGGCATGGTGGTAATTTTCAGTAAGGTGCTGAAATATCTAAGTAACACATCCTCACCAACCAAGTTCCCAGAGCAATGACTATTACTTTAATTCTCTTATAATGCTCTTCATACCTTATTTTATACATTACTTCCTGGATGCTTATTCTGCAAGTCATTTTGATGGAAATTTACTATGAAAATCTACAATATTATGTGCTCTAGGTGTCCCTGCTTGAGCAGGGAGGTTGGACTGGATGATCTCTAGAGGTCCCTTCCAACCTTAACTATTTTGTAATATGCATTTCTTTTTAACTGTCAAGAAATCATCATTTGATTTTCTGTTGGAATGTCTCTCTACAGGCAAATATAAATCCTCCAGGTACACTATGCATTTTTTGTAAACAGGAATAATATCCACGCTGGCTTAGCATCATTAGTGGAGTTCTTACCTGAACTCCTGACTCTAAGTCTGCAAGGAGCCCTCCAGCATTGTGCTCACATCCCTGTTCCCTCCTCTCTAGACAAGAAAATGAGAGTAATGTGCTGCCCCCAAAAGTCAACGAGTGTATGTGGGTGAACCCAGACGGACTGCTGTGCCCTCTCCTGTGCTAAGTAGTACCTGACTGCACAAGGAGATGCACTGAAATCAGTGCTCTTACTCGTATGGTAGGATTACTACTCAAAAGGAAAGGTCATTACTTGGCCTCCACTGAATAAAAGGTTTGATTTTGTTGCCCAGCAGAAGGTAAAGGAAATATTTAAATGTGCTGCATAACACTTCTCAAGAGAAAAACTTCTTTCTTATGGTGTGGGCCCACATCAGCAGCCAAAAGAACATTACACTGCCCTCTTGGAATTACCATCTTACCACAGAAAGTCTCTCTGAATTTGGATGTCAGCTTTTCAATCACACCATAGGTCTCCACATAAAAGACGTGTTCATCCAGTGGCTCACTGGCCATCATCCTCAGCGACTGCATGTCTGCCCGGTCCACCCCAACGGCGTAGATCTCAATGCCAGCTGCCTGGGCTCTTGCTGCCACATCTTGAACCTGGTCTTGTGGACGTCCATCCGTCACAATAATGACCACCTTGGGGATGTTGAAGTTTGCTGGCCGGGTACCCATTTCCTCGGTGAAGACTTCATCCATGGCAGTTTGGATGGCAAGGCCGGTCATCGTGCCAGCAGACAACGGTTCGATGTGAGATACAGCCTCCTTCATCGAAGCTTTATCAAAGTAGGTCCGGAGGGGAAACTCCACCTTGACAGTGCTGGCATAATTCAGGACTGCCACACGGGTTGCCCTTTCACCAACATCCAGAGTATCGATCATTTCTGACAGGAAGACTTTCACTTTCTCAAACTCCTCCGTTCGGACACTGCGGGAACTGTCTATGATGAACACGAGGTCTAGAGGCCGGTTCTTGCAAGTAGTATCTGTAAAGAGGGAAGGAAAACACTGCAGTCCTCTCACCAGAGCTGTGGGAGCTGTAAGATGTGAGACTACCCCTACCAGCTAGATACAACTACCTACCCTTCAGTTACTGGGTAGAGGCTTAAAATTACAGTGAGCAACATTAAAAAATCTAAAATACTAGTTTAGACAACACTTGTAAGCATTAAAAAACAGATCCATACTTGAGGCCAAAAATGTCTAAGTATCCATGAAACAAAAGGCTGTAGTTTGCATGTAACAGCCTATACACAAGTGCAGCAATGATCCATAGATGTGCAGCAATGATCCATAGATGTGCTTATTTTATATTCTTTATAAAAGGATAAAGCCTGAACTTCTTTTTTTCTAAGCCACAGAAATCAGTGAGAAAGTGATATTAATAATGGCAACATAGCAAACTGATAATTAGAAACCACTTTTTTTTGGTAATTTACAATCAAAAGATCACAACAAGAATGCTTATTTAGAAGCTGTTACTGTTTTAAACAGTAATAGAAGAAAAAAAAGAGCACATGTAAAAAAAAAGCAAACATTTACACACATTTCCAACTTCTAAAATTCCTGTATTTAAGGAAAAGCAAACCAAAAAAGCCGTAGCTCAGATGGCAGAACAAGCATCACTTCTTCCAGGAATATTAAAAAGAAATAAAACAGCAACATTAACCAACCTAAGCTGTATGTGCCACCCTGATATCAGCCCTTGATGCAACCATGAATTTAGTTTATACTTTAGTTCATATGTGGTTTATTTAGTTTATATTGCACACTGTAATTTGTAGTACAAATGTAAAGAAACAATAGCCAAAGCAAAAACAGTTTTTGTGAAAAAGAGACATCCTCCTCCCTCAACCATGTACTACATAGCAAAACGCCAAGGGGGCAATGCCTGAACTTGGGATCACTGCACACCTCTCCCAATGACTATAGAACTGACTTCTACTATTCCAGTTCATTAAAAAGCAAACAAACAAAAAACAGGTTGTTGCTTTCCTCACAAATCTCTTAAAAATAGAGGTGAAATCAGCACTTTTTTCAGTGCATTGAAGAACTTATTTTGCAAGTAAAAAGGAAAAAAAAAAAAAAGAGCAAACTGCCTGGAAACAGGTTGCTTGATGAAGAACCACGCAATAGCGTTTTCCTTCATCTATTTGCATTGAGACAGGCGAATCAACTACATGAATCTAGGATCCCATCCAGGTATGTTATATACATGAATCTACCTGTATCCCATAACACAGGTTTTGCATAGGGATTTAGAAAAATGGGCTTGTGCCCCTTGGAAGGTTGACAAAAGGAGGAGAAACTTTGTGCATGCAAGCGTAGCTTAAGCCATGAAAGAAAAAGACAGACGGGGTCTCTCCTACCAAACAAGACCCTGTTCAAGGTGCATAGGCAGGATTGTTTTCTAGACAAGGAGTTAGAGCTGGAAAAATCAGAGACAGCTGCTGAACATCCCAGTGCAACAAGAAACTGAAACGCTTTGAGAACTGCCGCAAGAGAGCAGCCGTGCAGAGCTCAGAGATTAGCAAGAGCAGCGCTGCAAGGAAAGCCCGAAGCGGTGGGTACCTCTGCCCGCTGCCGGGGAGCCCCGTGCCGCGGGCGGCAGCAGCAGCAGCGCCAGCAGCGCCAGGTAGCAGCGCAGGGAGCCGAGCGCCCGCCGCATGGTGCCGGTGCCGCTGCAGCCGCTGCGGCTGCTGCGTTTAAAGCCACCGGGCGCAGGGCCCGGGGAGAGGAGGCGGCGCCAGGCCCTGCTGGGACGGGCAGCGGGCAGAGCCCAGGGAGTTTCTGTCCTTGGCGAAGGCCAAGCTCATGGAGATGGGGTTTGCACACGAATTCAAACACTCCAGGGACACCTTGCAGGCTACAGCCTTCTTGTCTCCATCAGATGTCAGGCTCAGTCTTCCAGGCAGAAATGCAAAGCGGGGAACAAGATGATCACAGCTTCCCCTGCTTCCAAGTCCAGCCCACGTTATTTGCCTTGCCTGTTTCTAGCAGCATTCTCCTAGCAGTTCCCAGAGGAAGCTTGACGGAGCTTCCTGCAGGATTCCCTGCTCCTGGCTGAAAGCGGGGCTTGGAGCACAAATCCATGATGAAGCTTGGGGGATGTTTCTGAACAGAAGCTGGTTGGGCCAGCCCTGCACACGCAGCCCAGCTGCACCATCATTCCTCCCTTCCTGGCTCATGAGCAGGGAGCCCAAGCAGAACAGCCCTGCGGAGGTACAGGCTTGCAGGCAGATTATTCCAGCTTTCACTGCAGCAAACGTGACTTGATTTCATGTTGAAAGAGGGAATAACTTTATTCCTATGGAAGAATAAAGGCCCCCAGGCTTCCAGCTGCCTGCAGGGGCTACAGCTCCCCTGGAACTGCAGTGCATGCCCAAGAGCCCTGGGGGGTGTCTGTCTGCTCACCCATCCCTCACTGGGGAAGTTTCAACACCTGCCCATGGCCTGACCCCCTCTCTTCAGATCGAGATGTCAATTAAAGTTTCTCCCATGCCCACATGTGAGGAGATACCTAATGAAATGCCAGGCTTCATTCGCTAACACCTTCAGATTCCTCACAGTGTTGCACAGATCTAGGCCAGAGCGCACGCACCCACTTCACACTCCCCATGAGGCCTAAGTCCCGATGAGCTGAGCAGCTTCGGCAGGGTGGCTCGCTGGACCGCTTTGGTGTCACACATCATTTCAGCTCCCCCCAAGGTGCCGCACACTTCAGCAGGGTTTTTGACAGCATCTAAGCACTGCTCTTCCCTAGAGCCTTTCAGGGCACAGGGCAACACAGGCAGGTGAGAGGCACTGCGAGGGGGAGCAGCGGGATGCTGCAGGAGCAGCAATCCGAGGCATCTGCAGCCCCTGCAGCTGAACTGCTCTTGCAGATTGCACCTCCAAACTAAGGAAGGAAAAAGCTACTGCTGATGATACCTCCTATCCTTACCACATGTCAGAGGGACAGGAAGAAAGTGCTTGCTTCAACTCATGCGAATTATTTAAACAACTGTATGCTGCAACAGCTTAAACTATGGTCCAAAAAAAGATTTGACTGTATATCGCTTTCATTCTTGCAGTGGAAAGCTGCTTACTCATCACATTAACTATGAGAACACTAAAGTATCTTTCACCTGCTATTACAGAGGAGGAAGAACATACCGACAATTCCCCTCCACCACCCAAAGAGAACATTATATTGGAAAATGTGCCTGGAGTTCCATCCATGTTATAACTTCAATAATCGTATTCCTTCCAGGTTTGTCTTAACTTCTGAGACAGCTGGACATCAAACCTGCCCAGAGGGCTGGGAGACTCAGAACAAATCTGTTTTCCCAGAGCACACGTAACTGGCAAGCAGGCAAACACAAGGCAACCAAATACCTGACCAGCAGCAAAGGCTGCAATAACATTTATGTAATGAGAAGAATCCCCGCTCCCAGCTGCATGATGGCTTGTAAGAGATCACAGACTAGCCCTTAAAAAACCTGCAGGAAGTTAGGGTTCATTAAACTGGATGCTCATGGAACAGCACTGAAACACTTACAGGCAGGTCAACCAAGACTACTGGTAAATGTTTCGTAAAAGATTTATTTAAGTATCATTTATCACAAAGAGGAAAATACATATAAGATTAGAGGCATGCAACCATCTTCCACATTTCTATGGAGTTTTCTTTTCGCACTCGCAGCACTATGTAATACGACTCCTGTGCCAAACTTGCTTCTTCCTGAAAAATACTATGTTTCAAGACATAAAATAACAAAAAAAAAAAACCTCACAATAACATAATAACATATGAGAAAAGTGCAAAGTAAAAATTTTTTTAAAAAAAATCATGTATATACCACATTCAAACCTCCTTCCCCTCCAAAGACTGGATAAAGGCAAATTCACTTTGCTGCACGATCAGATTGTCTTTATGAACTACTTTACAAAAAAGTTAATATAAATTAAGGGCACGATCTTGTAGACACTTATGTTCGTAGCTAACTTTCACTAAGGACTGGCTCAATTGGTATTATTAACAGCCCAAAGTTAGTCACATGCATAAGTTCTTGCATTGTAAGGCCCTAAGGCAGTAAAATGTTTAAGAGCATTAAGGAGAACAAAAATTAAAACAAACAGAAAATCATTCCCAGGTGTGTTTTGCTTAGTAAGTTTATATCAAACATTTTAAACAGAACAGTTTGCTCCTAAAGCCCTGAATATTTCTATTACTTAAGCAGTTTTGCAAGATTAAAAGACAAAACTCCCAAGAAGCTGGTACAGATGTTAGTTAACACGAAAGTTTCTTCAGGCAGGTATGTAAGGAGGTGGAGGTTCCTTCTCAGGCATCTTCACTGCCATTTCATAGGTTGGCAGAACATACTAAAAGAGAAGACATTTTAGCAAGATTAATGCACTAGTTTAAATAAACACACACACACTCTACATCAGCAATTTTATTCTTTTGCAGGCATTTTTATTATTAGAACTGATGTTTCCACTAAGCCATCAAGGAGGAACTGAAAAAAAAAAGATGTAAAATTTACTATTCTGTTGAACCTAACCCTAAGCCACTGATTTCATCCCACTTCCTCTTGCAAGCAGCAAGTATGGTTTTCACAGGTGCAATCAGAAAGCTTCCCTACAGAGGGAAGTGTTTTTCTTGTTTTTAATTAAAGAAATACATTTAGTATTTCTCTAAGAACACCATTCAGAGGCAATTCACCTTAACGTTAGCTCTTTTACCTTTGAGCCTTTCTAGCTTTTGTTTAGAAAGCTGGACAAGACTCACAGACTTCTATGGACACTGTTCTTATGCTTCAAAGATTAACACAACTGCAACAACTCCTTTCACCTAGGAATGCGATTTACCTGTGGAGGAGCTTCAAAAGCAGGGTACACAGCTATCTCTGGCAAATTTCTGTTGCTGATATATTTATAGCAGTTCCACACACAGTTAATTAGATATGCCTGAAAGAAATTTTATATTTTAGTATCTCATATCCATTAGCTTATGCAGAAATAAAATGCTAGGCTACAATCACAGAACAGAAAAAAAAAAAAAAAAAAAAAAAAAAAAAAAAAGCCCACACACCCACAAACCTAAACCATTACATCTGAAGGAAGGAACCAATTTTGGTACATACATAACTTGTCCCAATTTAGTCTGGTTATCAATGATTCAGACAGGACAACTATGAGCTTTATAGTAAAAGAATCTGCAGATCAATTCAATCAATATTCGCCTCAGCAGTGCCCATCAGATTATTCCAACAATTATTCTGTGAATCCAAGTCCAAGCTACCAGTACAAAGATGAAAGACCAATAGCAGGTTCCCACCTGTCTTTGAATTTTTATTTTTTACTTTGAATTAAAGCTGCATGCAATTAAAGAGATTCACGGCCAATGTTTGGCCATTTTGGGCTCATTTTTCTAAACAATATTTTTTCCCTACAAATATATTCTGCAATTCAGATGAATGCCTCTGTACTTATCTCCCGCAAAACAGAAATAACTGGTTTTATTACCTATCTGCACTAACCTATACATTCCTCCCTTTCAAAAATACATCCCCCTTATTTGTTATGAGATTAAAAAATTTGTTTAGCAAATTTGTATGTACTAATTCAATACTGTTTCACTACAAGCTTAATTGTATTAAGTTCGTGTCCACATATGTAAAGGATTATTTACAAGCTTTGTATATTTTTAAAGGGCAGAGCTGTATAAACAAGCCCCACTGAATACAACATAAGTTTAAAGACACCAATACATAACAGACTGAAATTATAGTGCAGCAGAACATCGTAACAGTTCTACTCAAAGTAGTTCTTATTAAATATATTTCTACATCATGACAACTTTTTAGTATAGCAATTCATAAAACAAGTCCATGCTTAAACTGTAACTTACCTTCAAAACGATAAATAGCGCAAAGAACACCAGAACAATAAACAAGAGACAGCTGGAGTCCAGCGCAAGGAGATCATCCTTGTAAGGGAAATCCGGCTGTTTAGGAATAGAGGAGGAGATAGAAAAAGGAGACAAGCATGAACATCACACTTTCACAGATGTGACACCCAACCTGAGCACCACATGCAGCAGAGTGCTTGTTAGCTGCTCCCACAAGAAACAAGGAAAGATCAGTTTCTTTCTTACTCCAACTTCACCTTCTCAAAAGGCACAAGGTTCATCCTGCCTCTGCCCTGTGGGGGCATATTACTACAGACATGGGCTACTACTAAAGCAGTGTATCCTTCCACGCACCAAGTCATGGGCTACTACTAAAGCAGTGTATCCTTCCACGCACCAAGTCACTTTAGGCTCACCTCAATAAAGATCTCCATGAACCTTTTGCAAACAACTGCAGACTTCAGTTCCTCAGAGGAACACAACATTTGTATAAATGGTCCCCTACCCAACAGCTCTTCTAAGTCAGGCCTCCAGTCTGGTCAACCCATAACATCTGTGCTCTCAGGGGAAATAAACTGTCCCTAAACTTCAAGGCAAGAGACACACGTAGCTTCTGCAAAGTTCAAACTCTTCTTTCTCCTAAGCACAGTAACAGGACCCCTCTCTAATAGCAATCTGAAGTTTACCACCGCTTTAGAAGGAATTTTTAAAGAGCCCACTTACAGCTCTAAACATCACACAGAAAATAGCTAGTGATCCAAGCCAATTGAGGG